ATTCGGTATCGAAAAGTTTGGTACCGTTTTTAAATCAAATCGAATATTCGATATTTTTTTTTATTTATAATATGTGATTTGTCAAGGATGGGGTTCGAACCTGGGTGGAGTTATCGAAAAATTTTGTACCATTTTTAATCGAATCGAAAAATTTGGTATTGATTCTGAATCGAAATCGTATCGAAAAGTTTGGTACTGTTTTTAAATCGAATCGAAAAAACGATATTGTTTTTTAATTGAACTCGTTACCGAAACGTTTTGTAATGTTTTTAAATCGAACCGAAAAATTCGGTGTTGTTTTCGAACCGTACCAAAAAAATTGATACCGTTTTCGAATCGTTATCGAAAAGTTTTGTAATGTTTTTAAACCGAATTAAAAAATTCGGTACCCTTTCCGAATCGAACCGAAAAAAACTGGAATCGTTTTCGAACTGAACAAAAAAAGTCGATACCATTTTCGAATTGAACCGAAAAACTCGATACCATTTGAGAAACGAGTCATACCGAAAAACTCGAAAGCCTGACACCTAAAATATCGGTATCAATCCAAATTGAATCGAATCGAATCGAATCGAATTTATAAAAAAAAATCCAAATTTTTTTAACAAAATATATATTTTTCTTAATAAATATTGAAACTGAATATAATATAATAACCGATTAGTATATATTCTATAGAGTCGAATACTCAAATGTTAACACTTTATATGTGTATAATATTTATTGTATGCGAATGGTTTAAACGGGTTTAATGTATCGATCTAATTCAATCCATTATTCTTATTAGGTTGACCCAACCCAAATCATTAACTCTTTAGATCCAAATGAATTGGCCCAAATGGTAGGGATCACCCATTTAACATCACTATATAAAATAAATGCATGTGATCCGTATTGAAGGATGGGCATGGTATATCCGCTGGCCGACCACCCGCCTTACATTCGAAATTTCGATATCAATTTTTTTTATTATTATTTTCGTTGGTATTTGAAATTTGGATATTTTACTTGTACAACTTTGAGACCTAAACCGTAACCTTCTACCACTGATATCTGGGGAGAGCGAAGATGAAACCGAATTTAATTAAACGGTGAAGCTTTGTAATCATTACATAATATAGATATATATTTGTTAGTCTTTATTTGATGGCTGTCGGTTCAAAATTAAATTAATATATATCATATAATTAATTGGGAAAATTTTCTAGTATTAGTAAGAGCGAAAAGCATGGCTGTTGCGATTGGTTTGCAGCGTTCAAACGTAAAAATAAAATTGTTCAATTTTTGTTTGGAAACTACAAAAGAATTTTAAAAAATTCATGTGATTTGTAGGGTTTATGAAATTGAAATACTTTAGATATTTAATGTTTAGATTTTTTTTTGTTTAGGATTTAATAGTTGGTTAGTTAAGAAGATTAAATTCTTTGCTGATGAGCCCTTGTGGTTAGTGGTTTTGCAGATTTCATTATGTCGTGTTTTAGACTATCATTTTTAATTTAAAATTCCTTATTTTTCTAAATTATATAACTTAAATATTACATATAGTTAAATTCAAATAAAATATTAATTTTTATAAATATATACCTTTCAGTTTATTAATTATTATTTTAAATTATAATTAAAAATATATTTATAATATTAGTGTGTTACCGTATTTATTATGTAAAGTTATTTATAGTAGTATATTTAAACCCTATGTTTCTGTTGATACAATAATTAATTATATATTCAAAACTAGAATAGATACAGTCCTAGTAAGTAATCCTTTTTCATGAAAATAAAACGAAAAAAATACCAAAATTGCAAATAATGGATTTGTAAAATACAAAAACGATGCTTCATCTAAATTTTTAGACAACTGATATTTTCATCAGAGATTTTTTACATTTTTTTATTTTTATTTATTTTGGAATTGTAAAAAGCATCAGGAAATTAGCTTTTGGCTAATCACAACATATATCGATATATTGTAAAAAGCACGTGTCTTTATATAATATATACAGATAGATATGATATGATATTTTTTGACCGTTAGGACGAGAATGGCAAGAAACGGAAAAGTCTCTACTTGCCCGGTGGATGAGAATTGGGAAGTGCCAACTAAGTGACGAGTGGAGAATCAAAACCCACGTGACTTTGCCCTTTCCATGTCGGATCTCTGCCCTACTTTATAACACCGATCGTTCATCAAAACCTCCATTGATTCTCACTCTCATCCTCTTCAATGGCGGTTCATTGCATTGCCTTCTTCCTCTTCCTCCTCCTCCTCCTCCTGTTATCTTCTCCTTTCGCTGTCTATTCCACTGTCACAAGCTCTCTTCCCGGTTTCCATGGCTCTCTTCCCTTCGAGCTCGAAACCGGGTCTGTACAAAATCTCTGGTTTCTGTAATGATTCTGGTATAAAGATTGGAACTTTCTTTTCTTGGTGACGACAATGATTTGGCGGTGTTGTTGTTGTTTATGTCTTTAAACAAAAAAAAAAAACAGGTATGTGGGTGTTGGCGATTCAGAGGAAATACAGCTTTTCTATTACTTCATCAAGTCAGAGAGGAAACCTAGTGAAGATCCCGTGATGGTTTGGTTAACCGGTGGACCCGGTTGCAGCGGAATATCCGGTTTAGCTTTCGAGATCGGTACATTTCATATACATATATCATCATAACCAAATTATATATATGAACCATCTCTCTCTGAACTCAATCGAACGTTTCAGGTCCAGTGAAATTCGAACTGAAGGAGTACAATGGAACCACTCCTACTCTTTTGCCAACTTCAGATTCGTGGACTAAGGCGATGAACGAATGAAACCCGCATATACTCTCGGAGAAATCGTTCTAGATCCGAACCCTCTTGTTCTAACCGAGATTTTCTCGATCGATTCTCAGGTCTCGAGCATAATATTCTTGGACCAACCCGCGGGAACCGGATTTTCGTACTCAAGAACTGAACAAGGCCGTCAAGCTAGTGACTTGAAATCAGGCCAACTGGTTCATCAGTTCATCAGGAAGGCAAGGAACACAACAACTTATAATTTATAAACATTTACGTATATCGTTTTCTCTTCGTCTTAGGCGTTCTTGAATCCGTTTTACAGTGGATGCTAATCCATCCGGAGTTCATATCGAATCCGTTGTATATCGGTGGAGACTCGTACTCGGGGAAAGTGGTGCCCCCTGCTGTTTTGTTCATCTCCGAAGGTATATACATATATATATATATATAATTGTTTCTTGATATTTTCATTAAACTTTTCTAATGTATATATATCTCCCAAACTATATATGGATTCGAATCATTATTTGGATGTGAAATGTAGGAAACGACCAAGGGGTCGAGCCTCGAGTGAATCTCAAGGTACGAGAATATATATCAAAGTTTTGTTCCCAAAAATGAATGCCGAAAAGACACAACATAGTGTTGATTTGTGGATTGATGGCTCGTATCGTACCGTCATGTATAGGGTTACGTTTTAGGCAATCCCCTTACCGACGAAGAGGCGGATAACGACGCTGGGATTCCATACGCTCATCGAATGGGGATTATTTCCGACGAGATCTACGAGGTAAAACTGCAAAAACACTATATACACATATGAATATCTATATATATGTATATACTCACATTCCATTCATAGAAACTCTGCAGTCATTGGTGACTAGCTGCAAAGGGAAGTATTTTCTTGTGGAACCGAGCAACATAGAATGCGCGAGAGCTCTTGAACGTTTCGACGAGGCAAGTTTTTTCGCTTTTGAGGTCGAAAATCTTTGTTCAGAGAGCTAAGTCATTACAAAACACGGTTGGTTTTTTCTATGATCAGTGCACTAAAGACATAAACGGAGCACTCATCACTGCAGATAAATGCCATCCCGATCTTCCTTATCCAGGACCCGAGTGCCAGGTTCATCATTTTTTTTTTTTAATCTGTCCTTACCTTTTTTTTTCTTCTTTAATCTATTTGCGCATAGCAACACAACACAATGGTTGTTTCTTTTTCGGACAGACCTATTTTTACACGCTGTCTTATTACTGGTCCAACGATGAATCCGTCCGGACAACGCTCGGCATAAGAAAGGTATGCGACTTTCGGGTTTTTTCTTATAAGATTTGCGGAATAATATCTTGTATTACCCAACCTTGGCTGATCTAGTGGTAAGAGAATATACAAAATATGCTCTTACCTCGGATTCAAATCTAAGCGTAGGGATAGTCATTCACCCGAAATTCTCCGCTCTTCTGAGAGATGTAGTTGGACCAAAGCTCCGATAAATTTTCGAATTATCAAAAAAATATCTTGTATTTTTTCCATTGAACGATATATATATATATATATATACATACACACGCATATCCATATGCAAGAGTTTTGAGTTATGAAAACAGGGGACGATTGGGAAATGGGATAGATGCAATCGTGAAGAAATACCATACGAGGAAGATATCGATAGCGCACTCCCTTACCACGTTAACCTCAGCAATAGAGGCTATCGTTCTCTCGTTTACAGGTAATGTAATATATCTGAATTCTTGTCTAAAAGTGATCGCGGGTTTCCGCGTTTCGTTATATACATTGATGATAACGTTGGTTGCGTTTACATTTGCTTCTGCCGTTGCGATTGCGATTGCGATTATAGCGGCGATCACGATATAATTGTGTCGTACGTTGCGACACAAGCATGGATAAAAGCATTGGGTTATCCAGTTGTTGATGAGTGGAGGCCGTGGATGGATAATCGACAAATTCAAGGGTGATTATTTTTAATTCCCTATTTTGCATCCGACATTATATATATATATATATATAAAATTAACCATTTTACCGGTATACTAAATATAGTAAATAAAAATCAATGTCATTCAAGGACTTAGTTTTGTTTTAAATTCACCTTTTAAAAAAGAATATGAATTTTACTAAAACGTTTCTTTCTGAATTTTTTATGATTTTATTGGTATACAAGAAATTATAAAATCCCAATTTTGTGATAGTCTGATTTGTATTTTTTGTTACTATGCAAATTTTTTAACTTACTTCGTCACGTGGTTAAAATACGAACACATTAATTTACACATACTCATTAATTGTCTACCAAATTGGACAGGTACGCGAGGACCTACGCTAATAATATGACATATGCGACTATCAAAGTAAGTCATATTTCCTTTTTATAGATTTATTTTAATTTTATAAAATATATAAGATATGAAAAGCATGTCCAGAGAATAGTTTTGTATCTATAACTATTTAGTCAAATCCGAAATCTATTACTCTCCCTGTTTTGATGCTTCTTTAGACACTATGAAGGCAAATACATACATGAAAAAGTATTCTCATTAATTTTTATAAAAAAAATATTTTATTTTACATTTAAATTGAAAATATGGATAAAGTAAATTATTCTTTCCCAACCATATTTTTAATTTTTTTTAAAATTTGTAACTGTATCACATTTCCAATTAACTTTTTTTTATATATATCCATCTGAAAATGCATTTTCTAACCTTTTTTTTAATTAATTTGCTTTCTACTAATTGTTTTTGAATTTCTGTAGGGAGGAGGACACACAGCAGAGTACAAACGTAAACCGTATTACGTCATGTTCAAACGGTGGATTGATGGTGAACATTTATAAGCATGCTGCATGACGATCAAATCATACGGACCAAATCTTATGCTATTAGTTTGATTTATGATATTAATTGAAATAATAAAAATAATAATTATTGTCACGGTTGTATCCGTCATTGGTTTATACAAAACCCAATCCCACATCACAGTAAAATGTTTCGGTTTCTTAACGATGACAGAGATTCCCGATGTAATTGAACTCCGAAACGCAGATCAAAGGAAGAATAATGGCAGAACTCAATCGTTGGTCTTTGCAATGTATCACCACATGTTCCTCTTAAAAACACTTGATGAATTCAGACAGTCGTGTTCATTGTACTTGTGTGCGCATGTCGGCGTGGAAAAGAAACCCTTCTCCTCTAAATCTTACGTCCCTTCTCTCTTCTTACCAATCTATAACTCAGATTTATATATATATATATATATATATGGAATTTACCTTGTTTCATATGATTCTTTTCCCAAGTTTAAAGCAGAAAATGTAATGTTATCGAGGGTTTCTGGTTGTTTCAATCCGGGTTCGAGTTTCCAAGTAAAGGATATTTTTTTGTCAAGTTAGGTCGAATACAGGTGAATTTCTGAATTATAAAAAAACAAAAAACAAAAAAAAAACAAGGAGGAAACAGAGCAAGTGGAAGATACTGCGGAAGAAGAAGGCAGATCAGAGAAACAGAACAGGACAAAAGTATCATCAGTTTCGCGTTCTCAGGCGCGGGATGGCACGTGGAAGATTCGGTGACACGTGTGGAAACTGAAGAATTCTTCTACTCATTGAAAAAACATTTCGTCTGTTGCATCGCATCATTGCATGTGGTTCCGTTCCTTCTTTACGATACTTAATTCTAGATTTGAGATGACAAACATTCCCAGCTCGGGAACCGCATCCGAAAGAATGAAGAACTTGTGTTTTTTACGGGTAATTTCCTTGCTGCTTCTCCTCCGACTCGGTGACTCTGGCTCGACCGTGAGGCGTCTTCCCGGTTTCCAAGGTCCTCTTCCTTTCGAGCTCGAAACAGGGTCAGTGTCCTTTCTTGATTTCCCGACGTGGGGTTCTCTCGAATCCGATCCAACATTGTCGGATCTTCGATCTGTAACTGTAATAACCGAACCATGGATCTGTTTGGCGCAGTTATGTCGGCGTTGGCGAGGCGGATGAAGCGCAGCTTTTCTACTACTTCGTGAAGTCCGAGAGAAATCCAAGAGAAGACCCTCTAATGGTGTGGTTAAGCGGAGGGCCCGGCTGCACCTCGCTATCCGGCCTTGCTTACGAGATCGGTAACTCCAATGATTATTAGAAGAGATCGACCGTTCGTTGTTGTTATTATTATTGATCATTTATTTCAAGTTCAAAAATGTTTAAAGGAAAAATATATATAT